CTAACTAATACACCCCCCACCCCCCACACACACACACAGAGATAACATATACATCACAAAAGTGTAGCTAACTTTACCTTATTGACTTGCATAATGCATGGGCTACTCATGAACATACCCAATGAAAAATTATTATTACTCTTTATTTTACCTAATACAACCTTATCTAGCCTAAAAGTTTTGATATATTTACATTTATAATTATAAATAAAGAATACAAATGAAAAACAAGAAATAAAGTACTTAACCAGATCTTTTTTTGTTGTCAACCACTGATGAAACTTAACCCTACTTTTTTATACTAATCGGAAATCTCCATCAATTAATTTTTTAGTTAATTAAATAATGAACCAAAAACACAGGTTATCTATCTATGTGACAAGATCTGTTAAACATTCAGCTAAGCTCATCAATGTGTTTTGTGTAGGAATAAAGTTTGAACTGGAAGCAAAACTGACAATTCTCAAAAACCAATGTAATATAATACATCATTTGATAGATTCAAGCTTTGGCTTTCTGATGATTATAAATAATATAGTATTAAATATAAAAGAAAACTATTAACAAATCCTGAAAAAAGAGGATGTGACAAAAGAGGGGTCTGATTTTCTTGTTTATGACTCTCTAACCAAATAAAATTAAAGGCTATGAAAATTATGCTTTGTCTGAGTGATGACAACATTATAATTATAAGTTGTTTAGGCAGAGTATTATTAATGAATCTATGTTTCAAATTGTCAGCAACTGACTGTTGTCCTCTACATTTGTAGGTTTCTACAACAGGCAGTTGCTGTCCATTTGAAACTTAAGATTCATTATAATGAGTAATTTACATTATATTTAGAACTTCTCAGAGGGGTGGTAAATAAATTAGAGAACAGGGATATCTAAAAGAGCAGATGTCACAGTTCTCATACTAGATGGAAATTGAGAATTTTGTTTTATAATATTATATTAACATTTGGATCATTAGCTATGTTTTGAGGCCAACTTTATTTGTACACCATGATAATAAAGCACTTTAATTGAACTTTGGATATAATTCACTAAAACCTTGTGACATGTGCAGAAAAAGACACCTTTGGTAAGTGTTAATGAGGTCACACACCTGGTCATACAACTTTCCTACTAATTTCAGGTGACTGTGGTCCTGTTCATGATAAAGAGTACAATTCCGCTGCTGAGCCATTAGCAGACATAGAGGGATAGCAAGGTCATGCTCTAGCAAAGAATCTTTCAGTCTCTGTGAAGATTTCTTGGTGTTGCGCATCTGATTGAAAAATCCTCCCTTAAAAAATAAATTTAAAGCATTTCAGTATCTACTGGATTAAAGAAAGATCTTGAAAAATTTTAAATTCACAAAAATTCACAATACATTTCATCCATACAATATTTATTATTTAAGAATTAATTTTTAAAATTTTTTAACTTAAAAACATTTCCTGATGAAATTCACATAAAAATTTACATCAGGCAGACACTAACCTAATAACTAATAGAAGAGCAACAAGAAAGTTCAAAATATATTCAGTTTTATAGTTTTATGTATTTCCAGGATATATGATGATACATATTATGAAATATCAGTACAAGTTTAAGATATAAATTATGTTAAGAGTACAAAAACACGATAAAATATGGTATACTTACAGACTTTATAAAATTATATAAAAATATTTTGAACACTAATTCTAGATGTAAATATTTAGATATTTCTAATTAATTCTGCTAAATAAAAAAATATGTACATAATTAAATCGTATGAGCACCTTTTAGATGTCAAGTGATCATCTGCAAATAATATCAAAATTTAAGTCAAAATAATAACAATTTTTAACTCCAAAACTTTTGGAATTGATATTTTGTCATTTTGTAACATTTATTCAGTACAATTCACAAAGAAAAATGAAATAAGTGTTGAATGTTGCATTTCTGCACAGTTTTCAAGAGTCTCATCTGTAAACAATGCACTTATAAATTTTTTATAGAATTTTTCTGCCCATCCCAAGACACAGGTTTATAATTGCTTAGAAACTATCATCTCTTGAGAATATCGTAATACACGTTTTGTTGCTTAAGCGATTTTTCTTCTTTTTTCACTGATTTTATTACAGTCTGTTGTTCCCATCATTTTGATTTAACTACTAATCAAGCTTAGCTTTGAGAATAACTATAGCCAATGACTAACTATTAGTAGATACAGCTGATTATGGGCTATTTGTATCAGAGTAGAGTGAATAAAGTGGCACTAGAGGTAACTTATACTATTGTGAGAAAGTGATAAGATAAAGCTTCTGAATAGAACAACAAAAATAACTGATGAGAAGTTTATATAGATTATCAAGAAACCATCTATATGGGTATTTTTTACAGTTTCCCCAAGACGTTCTTTTTCATTCCTGTAAATGTTGCCATTGTAACTTCTATTTCTTTTGAAAGTTATTCCAAATTTTTCATATGACATCAGACAATTTATATTAGTTTAGAGGGTATGTAGCAAAGGCAAAATATTACAGTAACTCAAAATTTTATTTATTGAATATTATTCAAAAGTTTATAGCACATAAAAAAAAAGATTTTACCATCCTATTAAAAGAAACCATTTATTATATAAAATTGATCTTGAATAGAATACTGTTAGCAAAAACAGTGTTATCTAGTTTAACCTGATGTCATTTTTCTTTATATTTATAGCAAACATGTCTTACAAAAATAAATTGGAAATTTTATCACATAAAACGATAGAAAACCTAATTTAAATGGTATGGATTTTTAAAGCCAAAAATAGAAACTACTAAATAAATTTGTTCAAAGTTTCATGCAATTTGGTTAACGTTTTTTTTTTCTACTGTAAGAAGGAAAACCTCAAGAGGTATCAATGAAATCCCTTTAAACCAGAAAAGGTTAACTGGCATATTAGTTTGTTAATATACATAATCTTACAGTTACCACAGCTACATTTTTAAGTGTCTGATGAATGTAGAGAAATAAACAAAAGGTCTTTTATTTTAAACCTATGAACCTGGTTTCAACCCAGAAATAAGATTCAAAAAATCTTCATGTTTAATGTGTAGATAATGTGTTTATTTTTTGAATTTGAATTTTCACAGTATTCTACTTCCCTTAGAAAATAAATATGACAAACAGTAACTTATTTTTAGAATGCTTTTCTTCTACAGGTTCTGGTTTTTCACTAAAGAATTTACATCTTATAGTTCTCAAACAATGACAGCAATAACTAGTTTCTTAACATGATCAATAAAAACATAATTTTGAAGTGAATGAAAAGATAGGAGAACAAATTTTTTAAAATTTGTTAACTCTCTCAATACAGACTCGAGCAATTTTACAGGCCATGTGACTTCTTTGTACTGGATGAAAGTCCTTATAGATTTAATACTTCTAACTTTCAATATAATGTGTATATCTTCACAAAATTTGGCAGTCTTTCAGTTAATATTACAAGTCTTTCACACACAACAAAAAGTCATATTTTTAGTGAAGTATTTTTAATAAAATAAAGATTTCTCCATGAATATATTGAGTATTTGTTTTGAATAGTCCATGTGCACAGTAATTTTATGTTAAAATTAAATATACTTTTTCTCATCTCAAAAATATCAAATTTTCTTTGTGTAATATCTTAAACCTCCTAAATGCATTTCAAATGTTTTTTTTCCATAAAACTATAGTTTATCTGTTATTTTCTCTACCCTATCTCAAAACAGGATCCATCAATTCAACCAACCTTGTAACCAACCAAAAAAAAAAATAAATAAATAAATCTCAATTACCCTTTTTTCTTTCTAGAATGACTTCAAATTGTAACATGAAACTAAATTCATTTATCCTAAGTAGCTCTAAGTTTGTAACAGTATACATCTATCTATAATTAAATTTTACTGTTTTATTGTCCTTTGAACTGTATCCAACTACTATCTGTACCATTATAAGTTGTAAAACACTCATGGAACAGCTCACGTTAAGCTAACAAATTACATTACCCACACAACCTGGACACAAAATAAACAGGGAAAAACTGGAATCATCGACAAACAAATTTTGGAAAACAAGAAAAAATAAAGAATCATTTTACAACAACACAATAAAACCTTCAGTAAATAGAGATTCCAGATTAGAGGTGAGTAACCTGTGGCTACCATTAGTTGAATCTACGGGAAGTCTCTCCACCAATCAGAAACAGAGATAAGCCAACCAATCATAACACGCTCTCCACAATCCACTAGAATACTATAAAGACTGACTACACCATACACACACTGAACTGAATACAAAAGGTGGAAGACTTTTGAAACATTGTCCTCTACACTCGTGTTTCTTCAACAGGCAGTTGCCATCCATTCACCTATGTTTCCATCAGTATCTATAGTTACATGAATGAACACAACCATCACTCTAACTGGATAACTTCTTTGGATAATTCTTTCTCTCATCCTAATGAGACCAATTCTAAGAGCTATTCCAAGATATAATGACTAAATGTAACATTTCTTAGCCTGCACGTAACTTCACATTTACCCAGAGCAACCAATGCTACTCACATGTATGTTCATTCTCATTGCATCGCAAGTGGAACTGTAACCTCTAAATATCACCAAAACAAACACTGAAGAGAACTGCTGTGCACATTTTTTACAGAATGTGTCATACTGAACAAGACCCTTCCTGAGTGGGACAAGTATTATTGATTTCGAGAACAACGAAGGTAACACAGGACGAAATCAACTTAATGACTTTCTCAACACCATGTTACGTGAAACCTGCACATATACAGAACAAAGAATAAATTAAAACTAAATACTGAAATATTATAAGATAGAAATACATGGTACATTCAAATACAACACTGACAAAATCATGATCTGTTGATCACACCAGCTACAGGATAATTATTTAAGTCATTTTCAGAAAAAAGGAGTTTGTATGTCACTATGATTAAAAATTGAAACTTAAGCAGAGTAAACCAAATTTTTTAAGTAGAATGGCTGCACTCTCAAAGCTTGCCATAATAGTGTTCAGCATTTAAAAATTAAGAAATTTCTCAAGCACAAATGAATAACTTAAATGTAAAAGCTCATTTACTGTTAACAAATCTAAAATTTAAACTGTTATGGTTATTCCCATCAAAATTATACTTATAACTCATATTATGATATCCCGCATGCACTACCTTGCATTTATTATAATTAAAAGCCAACTGCCATTTATTCATTCAACTCACCAAATAAGTCAAATCTTTTTGTAAAGCATCCTCCTCCATATCACAGCCAGTAACACCAAAACCTTACTATCAGAAAACTTAAATAAGTTATTTAACCATGTCACTAATGTAAATCATAAATACTTCTGAGGTACCCTACTGTGACAGTAATTCAACCTGACTGAAATTCATTTGCATCAACCCTCCACTTTCTTTTACTGAGCCACCTTTCTATCCAATGAGCAAATCTATCCCACACACTTAAGAGATAATTGATTTAACATGCCTTTTGTGATACCTTGTAAAATGATTTCTAAAAATTCCAATATACACCACATTTACAATCATACCTTGATTTAATAAGTAATTTCTTCAAAGAATGTCAAAAGATTAGTTAAGGCAAGATTTTATGTTAGTAAAACCATGATATTATGTAACAAAATTTAAAACTTTGTTATATGATTTTGCAAAGCATTTTTTTTCTTCAGATTTTCAAAAACTTTTCCCACCACTGATGGAAGACAAATAGGCCTATAATTACAACAATTTTTATCACCTTCCTAAAATAGGAGTAACATTAGCATTAGCCAACATACAATCTTTTGGCACCTGCCCACTGTTCAAGGATTTACAAAACATATATGCAAGTGGCACACATATTCAACACTTAATTTCCTTCAAAACACTTTAAGAAATATACCCAAGAGCTTAACCATTCTTTAAACTTCCCAATAATTTTTAACAAGCTCAGAATTAATGTGACCATCTTTGAGTGAAGCTAAAGCTGCTCTTGTAATTATTAGACCATGGTTAAAACACTAAATTAGCATAAACAAATTACTATTTAACTATTTTATTTTTTTTCTCAAACCACAGGTCTAACACACTAAGTTTTCTTGATAATCCAGTTCTTATAACCGAGTGAAAAAGAATTTTTCAAAATATTACATCACTATAAAGTGTAATTAACTTTTTTTTTTTCTAATATAGTGATATAAGTTGTTTCTCTTTGACTTGTAGAGCTACATTTAATTTGCACATAAGCTCCTCACCTGAAAGAAAACCTTAGTAAGAGACAGATATATATATAAACACACACACATATACACCATAAAAATTAAATGGTTAAAATATTTTATGATGAAGATAACCATTCCTCACCTCTGCTCTCAGCAATTCTCCCCCAGCCATAGATTCTAGTTGCTGTGGTGTTATTTCTTCTGTTGCTTCAATACCTGCCATTTTCTGAACAATCTCTTTCAAAACCAGCAGGTCAACACTGATAAGAAACCCAGTTAAACTTACAATTTTATGTAATAATATTCTCTCTCAGCTTGTTGGTCTAAAAATTCCTTAATATATACTTGATAATTATTTAACAAAAAACTTTTTCAACAGTCACACAAATGTCACAAAATCTTATATCAAAGATACACAGTACAGCATGGATCAACCATTGTTGATTACTCTGTAGCCTAGGTAACTTTACAGTACAAAATAGTCTCTAAATGTGTCTAGATATGTTTAACACCAAAGCATTAGTTAAATCACCTACAATGAGCATTTCTCATGTTTATATATAATTACCATGGAAGGGCTGACATGTTTTTTATTTCTTTTACAAATATATGTTAGATAAATTATTTCAACAACCTAATTCATAAATGCTGGACACATCTGTCCTTTGTTGTTTTTTGCACTGTTGTTTTTTTAAACAAAACCCAATAGATAGGTTTTGAGCAACATCTGCAAAATCATCAGTTTTTACTCTTTATAACATACAAAACACATTTTAATACTAATATATTTTACCTTTAATTTCTGTGGTAAGGAAACTTTTTTTTGACGTGATATATGTAACAAAAAATTTTAGGAAATCCGCTTCCAATGAAAATTTACATCACTATGGTAGTTCCAAATTACTTTTCAGTTAATCTTAAGGTACATGTACTTTGTTTTGTTACTAGATATTTCCAAACATAATGAAATACTATCCAAAATTACCTTTTCTCAGCCTTGAGCTGATTAGCCACATATTGCAACAACCCTGTCAATTCCACGGGATACTTTTTGAAAATGGCTCCACAAAAACTAGATAAACCTAAAAAAGGGGGAAGAGAGGAAAAAAAATTCTCACACTGTAACACTCAGTGATAACATTTAACATGTATCTAATCCAACTAATTTCAATAACCCTTATTGCTTGTGACTTTTATTAGACTGTTTGGTCTGAGTAACTTCAAAAATTCTTACAATATCATATTTGCCCAACCACACTTTACTTACATGAAACGTATTGTTAATGGATTGTGTCTATCTAGGAAATTATGAATGACATTTTGAACTGCTAGTCCAAAGTTTCATCATATGTAGTCCATTAATGACACCTTTCAAGTACATTCTCCTCTGTCTAAATTTTCTCTCAAGCCAAAACATACTTGATTTCATATTTTACTTTCGATTCAATAACCTTACAAAAAACTTATTTTCACTACAGAAAGAATAAGCTTGCAACATTAAATGGAAATAAATTAAACAGACAATGGCCATAAAAATAAAGTTTCTACTTTATCACAAAAAATTATTTTGCACTTCATTACAGATATAATACATAACAATGCAATTTCCTTAATAATACCTTAATGTGTGCAAAAAATAACCATTGTTAAATGTAAAGAAAATAAAGTTTAAATTTTGAAAAAAACACTATGACACAGAAAATCATAACAATAGGAAGACCACTTTAACCCCTTCTAGACGGGTCACGGGTGAAAAGCCATGTCATCTTGTTTGTTGACTGGGATTCAAAATTTTATTGAACCATTATTTCATGAATTTATGTCAATATGTCAATTTTAGTACTATACATTACTCAATTTCTTAATTTAAAATATTAAAAAACACTGATAAACATCAATTTGTGTCATGTGGTATGTTGAATGCAGTACTGGTTCAAAATAGATGTTTCTGAAGTCAAAATACTGAGTCTATAGTTTCATACAAATTACTGATATTGACAAGCTAGAATATAAAATAAGAACATCTTAGCTTTTCTAGTTGCTAACATATAGCTCATGTAATAAATGTAATAAATGCCAACACAGTTGCACCCCATCCACTTCTTACCATTTTT